GAGCTTCCATTTGAAAGAATATCAGTAGACCTACAAGCGAGGATTTTGAAAGAATATTTAGCAAGACCATAAGCAGAACTATTACCGTCGATTTTTTACCAAGACCCACTGAGATCTAAGGGTAATTTTTTTGAAGAATGTTATCGACAAGAATCTGCTGTGAGCAGCGATAATTTTGTTAAGACTATTTTCGAGAAGAACCCTCTGAGACATACGCTTAGATGTTTTACTAATTTTTTTTTTAAATTTTAAGGTGGATTGGCTTGGCATAAGCAACGATTTTTGAATAAATATTTTAATAAGGATCAGTAGAGCGCCATAAGCGTGGATTATATCAAATTATTTTTCGAGGCCCGTATGACCGGAATAAAGTTTTATAATTGATCAGAATAATAAAATCATTATAGAATAGAGTTAAGAAGGGCAGTTAAGGATATCTCAATCATAATTAAATGAAACCCACTTCATTTTTGCATTCTTGTTGCACAGTGTGTTTTTATTCCACATGAAACACCCAATACTCACAGATAAAAAAATCTTTGGAATCATAATTTTTTCTACAAGGCGGCATAATTTAGAAATACAAAAGTTGAAATCTTTTTGTGAAATATTCCAAACACCCAATATGTTGTGTTCTTTCATTTCTTACTGCCCCGCATACACATTTTAATTGGCAAATATTCGAAATATAAAAAAACGAACACAAAAAACATAACACCACAAAAAAACACAAAAAGGTACTCAAGCGTTTGTGTTGGATGCGGTTTCTTAAATTTCATGGTTTCACAGGTAGGTTAAAGACCCATTTCAATGTCAGTGTCAACAGGTAGTTGTTAAGAAAATGTTTGCTTTTTTTTTGTTGTGGTCGATTCTTAATAAATCATTTAACCAAAATGAGAAAAAAAATAAATAAAAAAACGAAATCTAATAAGTAAAGAAATTTTGATTTGATTTTGAAATGCAAAGGAAAGGGAGAAGTTATACTTGATGATGCACAGTGGTGTTTTCAACCCATAAAATGATACGAAATTATTAGCCATAATGCGAGTTGTTTATATGTACCCTATCTAGGACCACAATGCGAAATTTTAAGGAATATTTTTACGGGGACCTTTAGAGGCATAAAAGTGGATTTACAAAAATATATATAGTTGCAAGGACCCTTAAGGACATAAACGTGATTTTTTCAATGAATGTTTTTGCAAGGACCCTCAAGGACATAAACGTGAATTTATAAGAATATTCCCGACAAGAACCAACGGAGCAATTAGCTTGGTTATTTAAGAATATTTTTTCAAGGACACTCAAGGTCTTAAATTTAGATGTTAATAGGAAAATTTTAGAAGGTACCTTACAGGCATAAAGGACCTGTGGAGTCATAGGCGTAAACTTTTCAAGGACAGAACCAATAGAGCCATAAGAGAGAATGTTTAAAGAATATTTTAAACATGGATAAGCCAGGACCTAAGTGGGGATTTTTAAAGAAAAATAGTATTTTAAGCGAGGCCAGTAGGGATACGTGAATTTTTAAGCAGCACCGTAGCCATGTTTTTTTGTAAAGGCATTAACGCGGATTTTTAAAGAATATTTTCGACAATGACTTACAGAGCAGGACGAGTAAGGGTGGATTTGTAAATATATTTTAGGCAGGATCGGCAGAGAATTTATTAATCAGGATCCCTGAATGCTCCTTAGATTTTATAGTATATTTTAGGCAGGACCAGCAGAGGCATAAGCGTAGTATTTTTAAGAACATTTTTAGAAGGGCCGCTAGAGTCAGAAGAGTGAATTTTTAAAATATATTTTAGGCAAGACCCGTAGAGCCATAGTCCTGTGTTTTAGAACATATTTGAGGCAGGGTCAGTGAAGCCATATGCTTGTATTTTTAAATTGTACTTTAATCAGGATCAATAGAGCCAGAAGCATGGAATTTTAAAGCATATTTTAAGAATGGCCGAGTCAGAAGCGTGGATTTTCAAAAAATATTTTAAAGATGGCCGGTGGATTCGGAATCGTTAATTTAAAAACATATTTTTAGAAGGGCCGATAGAGCCAGAAGCGTGGATTTTCAAAAAAATATTTTAAGAATGGCCGATAGAACTAGAAGCGAACTAGAAGAATTATTTTAAAGATAGCGTGGATTTTCAAAAAAAAAAATGTATATATATATATATATTTATATTAAGGAGGACCGGTGGAGTCGGAAGAGTGAATTTTCGAACAATATTTTTAGCCATGGATTTTTAAATAATATTTTAGGCAGGACCTGCGGAGCTAGATATAAAAAAACATTATTTTTGGAAGGCATGTAGAGTCATAAGCCTGGATTTTTTTTTTTTTAAGAATATTTTGGGATGAATTTTTAAAGAATATTTAAAAAGGTATAGGTTGAATCGGCAGACTATTTTCGTCTAGGATCAGCATAAGTGTGGCTTTCTAAAGAATATTTTCGATAGGTCCTGGATAATTTAAAATCATTTTCTTGAATTGACTATCAGAGCTGTAAAAGTGGACAACATCTTATTACAATTTCCCTTCCCCCTTCTCACAATAATTTTTTCAATTCCTAGGAAAAGATTCCCAGAATTGCACAATTGATTGCAATGTGAACGCATACACACATACATAGCCATATACGCATATGGACATAAATGGCAACAATTCACACATTTTTAGACCCAACGACCAGACCATTCGCATGGTGGTCGTCTGTCTGTGCTCTGCACATGTTTGGCCTTCGATAAAATGTTTCTACGTTTTTCTTTTTACAATTAATGAATGAAAATAAAACCACACTCACTCACTCACTCACATACATACAAGTATATTGGCGATAAAGAGCGGGAGAGTTGGAAATGTATATCTCCAGCAAGCGATCACTAGGCCTCTTCTATGTGGATCACATATTAATTATTTTTTTATATCTAGGCTAAAATGATAGGCAACAATTTCAACATCTGTGATGCGATAAAGATAACACCACCAGCAACAACAACAACACACATGAAATGGCATTCTCAACATCATTATTGAGTTTGAGCATTTTATGGCTACACATTAGGCAAATTAATTGAATTCCAAGGAAAAATGGAACGAAGCAGTAAGCAGCAACGGCTTCTTCTATCCTGAGTAGCAAACTGAATGGCTCGGCAGCATCATTGAAATTATCTCAAGAGTAAACACACAATTAAATTATATTGAGAATATGAATGGACCTGTGAGTGAGAGTTTTTGTTGTATGTAGGTTGCGAGTATAATCAATTCGAAGGGCAGGGTACATTTGAGATGTTCTTAATCGGCAGCCAATGAATTATTTTTCTGGGTTCTATGAACAAAATCGTGGTGATTATGTCAAATGCAATTTTTATGAGTTATAAATATTACTTTGATGTTTTAAATATTCATGTTTTTTTCGTTACATCCTAATCAACATCATCTGCTGAAAAATTCTGAAATATAACTAAGAAAACATTTCAATTAAATAATACACATAGCCATAAAAAATCCGCAATGACAATTGTGAATTGAATGAATTTTTTAGTTGAATGAAAGAAAATAACTCCCATGGATGGCCAACAGATGGAATGGAAGTTCTTGAAGATGGATACATTGTATCACCACTAGTTGAAGATCATTGAATGGCTGGGCATTGTTACAGGTTTTCTCATATTAACAGAAGGTTACACACAACTATTATAAATTACATATTTTTTAAAGGGCCTTACAAGGGAGGAGAATATATTTGATACAATCAGAGCTAAATCCTGAACTTCCAAAACTATTTTTGAAGTACAATCAGTGCAGCCATAGGTGTGGATTTTTAAAGACTATTTTAAGCAGGACCAGTAGAGTCATGGATTTTTAAAGACTATTTTAAGCAGGACCAGTAGAGTCATAGGCGTAGGACCAATAGAATCATAGGCGTGGATTTTTAAAGACTATTTTAAGCAGGACCAGTAAAGTCATAGGCGTGGATTTTTAAAGACTATTTTAAGCAGGACCAGTAGAGTCATAGGCGTGGATTTTTAAAGAATATTTTAAGCAGGACCAGTAGAGTCATAGGCGTGGATTTTTAAAGAATATTTTAAGCAGGACCAGTAGAGTCATAGGCGTGGATTTTTAAAGACTATTTTAAGCAGGACCAGTAGAGTCATAGGCGTGGATTTTTAAAGACTATTTTAAGCAGGACCAGTAGAGTCATAGGCGTGGATTTTTAAAGACTATTTTAAGCAGGACCAGTAGAGTCATAGGCGTGGATTTTTAAAGACTATTTTAAGCAGGACCAGTAGAGTCATAGGCGTGGATTTTTAAAGACTATTTTAAGCATACCAGTAGAGTCATAGGCGTGGATTTTTAAAGACTATTTTAAGCAGGACCAGTAGAGTCATAGGCGTGGATTTTTAAAGACTATTTTAAGCAGGACCAGTAGAGTCATAGGCGTGGATTTTTAAAGACTATTTTAAGCAGGACCAGTAGAGTCATAGGCGTTGATTTTTAAAGACTATTTTAAGCAGGGCCAGTAGAGTCATAGGCGTGGATTTTTAAAGACTGTTTTAAGCAGGACCAGTAGAGTCATAGGCGTGGATTTTTAAAGACTATTTTAAGCAGAACCAGTAGAGTCATAGGCGTGGATTTTTAAATAATATTTTTAGGAAGGCGCTATAAACTGGGATCTTAAAATAATATTTTTAGGAAGGCTATCGGAATGTTTAGGAATGTTGTCGGCTATATGGTCGTGGATTTTTAAAGAATATTTTTAGGAAGGTTTTCGGCTATATAGGCGTACACTTTTAAATAATATTTTTAGGAAATTTGTCGGCTATATAGGCGTGTTTTTTTAGATAATATTTTTTGGAAGGTTGTCGGCTATATAGGCGTGGATTTTTAGAGAATATTTTTAGGAAGGTTGTCGGATCTATAGGCGAGGATTTTAAAAAAAATATGTTTACGAAGGCTATTGGAACCACATGCGCTGATTTTTAAAGAATATTTTTACGAAGGCTATTAGATCCACAGCACGGATTTTTAAAGAATAATTTTACGAAGGTTGTCGGGTACATAGGCGTGGATTTTTAAAGAATAATTTTTAAAAACGCTATCGGGTCTATAAACGTGGTTTTTTTAATAATATTTTTAGAAAGGCTATCGGGTCTCTTAGCTTGGGTTTTTAACGAATATTTTTAGGAAGGCTATCGGGTCTATAAGCGTAGATTTTTAAAGAATAATTTTTAAAAACGCTATCGGGTCTATAAACGTGGCTAAAAAAATATTTTTAGAAAGGCAATTGGGTCTATAAGCGTGGATTTTTAAAGAAGATTTTTAGAAAGGCTATCGGGTCTTTAAGCTTGGTTATTTTTTAACGAATATTGTTACGAAGGCTATCGGGTCTAAAAGCGTGGATTTTTAAAGAATATTTTTACGAAAGCTTTCGGGTCTATAACCGTGGATTTTTAAAGAATATTTTTAGGAAGGCTATCGGGTTTATAAGCGTGGCATTTTAAAGACTATTTAAAAAAGTTCTATAAGCGTGTATTTTTATATACTATTTTTAAGTGTTATTTATTTATAAAGTCACTGAGGACTATAAGCGTGATTTAAAAGAAAATAGCTATTGGCTTTATTTTAAAATAATATTTTGATCAGAGCAGTTCATTATCTTTTTATAATTAATTTCATATCGTGATTTGTCATTTACTCTCACATGCATGTATTTATTGAGAAATTCCGAGCACTTCAGATTTTGTTTGTGTTAATATTTTCTTGCATATATTTAGCACTAATTAATAAAATATCCTCCTGTATCCAACTGCACTCTTTATAAAGTGGTCTCTTAGAAAATGTCGGCAAGTAGATAAATATATCCTTTTAGTGCATGTAATCGATATGTGTTATTTATTTATATAGTCCAATTATTTCGCATTTTAAAACATCAAAGTGAAACGCAATCTAATTGAAAAAAAGAAAATTGTAAAAACTCTTAACTTCCATTTTTTCAATATTTTGAAAAATTGAAGTTAGAAGTAAACAATTCTGCACAGTAAATGAAATAAAAGAAAAGTCGTATCAAAGTAACTTCCTAATAATGGGAATCAATTCAGTTCAACTTGAAGCTGGGTTGTATATATGTACACATATATAACACACAATTCCGATACATGCGTGCCGTTTCAATTTCATTACTTCGTTTTTTCCTTTTGAAAAGTGTCAATGCGTTTAGTACTCTTAACCTATGTTTGAGATGCGTTTTCCTAAGAGCATTTCAACATAAAAGAGCCTAGTAATGAATGACAAAAGTATAAATGCGTAACTGATATATATATATATATATATATGTGTGTGTGTTTGCTTGTGTGGGAATGCGTAGATACTTTTGTGCATTTATAGTAATTCTATATTGAAAATTGTAGAGCACTTACAGTGCATAAAGGAATTCGTTACTTAGCCAAAAGCACAGTGGTGTGGATTTTTAAAGAATAATTTGTTAAGGGTCTACTATAGTCTACGGATTTGTAAAGAATAATTTTTAAGGATCTACCAAAGGCGTGGAGTTTTAAATAATAATTTTTAAGGATCTACTATAGGAATGGATTTTTAAATAATAATTTTTAGGGGTCTACCATAGGCGAGGAAAGAAAAATGTTTAAGGGGCTACCATAGGATTTTGCAAAGAAAAAAAATAAGGGTCTACCAAGGCGTGGATTTTTCATAGAATATTTTTCAGGGTCTACCATGGGCGGTGGATTTTTCATAGAATATTTTTCAGGGTCTGCCATTGGCGGTGGATTTTTCAAAGAAAACATTTTTAGAGGTCTACATAGGAGTAGTTTTTTTTAACGAATATTATTTGGACCTTTTACAGGCGTAGATTTTTTAAAAATATTTTTTGGACCATTTACATGCGTAGATTCTTGAAATAATTCTATATATATTTTTTAATTTTTACCACTGTGTTCGTGTAAGCATTTTGTTACATATATTTATTGCCATGTGGAGCCAAGTGCCGGTGCCAATGCCTGTGGCGATGCTGCGTTCATTCTCATCGTCGTCGTCGTCATCATCATCGTTGCTGTTGTTGTTGTTGTACATGTGCTGTTGTAGCTGCTGTAACATTAATCTGTCTCTTTACACGCAAAAAAATGTATGCGAATCGATTAACACTTCAGCACGAAAATAAAGAAGCAACAACGACAACAGGAACAACAAAAACAACACCAACTACCAACCACATCAGCACCACTATCAACAAGCAAAACGCACCAAAACGAACACTCAGTGACTGACAACGGCAATGAAACACTCACTACTCACTTATTTATACGTCTTGTTTCTTTTTGCTCTGGCAGTGGCAACTACAACAACAGCAACCAAGTCAGACAACCACACTTACATGCAAAATATTGGCAATATGAGTACAACAGCAACAATGTGACATTCTGATGGTGGTAGTGTTGCCAACAATTAAAAAATATTCTTTAAAATTTCTCGCCATTAGTAGATCCTTTGAAAAATCATCCGTAGGCTATAGTAGATCCTTAAAAATATTCTTTAGAAAATCCACGCCTCTAGTGGACCCTTAAAAATATTCTTTAGAAAATCCACGCCTGTAGTGGACCCTTAAAAATATTCTTTAGAAAATCCACGCCTGTAGTGGACCCTTAAAAATATTCTTTAGAAAATCCACGCCTGTAGTGGACCCTTAAAAATATTCTTTAGAAAATCCACGCCTGTAGTGGACCCTTAAAAATATTCTTTAGAAAATCCACGCCTGTAGTGGACCCTTAAAAATATTCTTTAGAAAATCCACGCCTGTAGTGGACCCTTAAAAATATTCTTTAGAAAATCCACGCCTGTAGTGGACCCTTAAAAATATTCTTTAGAAAATCCACGCCTGTAGTGGACCCATAAAAATATTCTTTAGAAAATCCACGCCTGTAGTGGACCCTTAAAAATATTCTTTAGAAAATCCACGCCTGTAGTGGACCCTTAAACATATTCTTTAGAAAATCCAGGCCTGTAGTGGACCCTTAAACATATTCTTTAGAAAATCCACGCCTATAGTGGACCCTTAAAAAATTGTTCTTTAGAAAATCCACGCCTGTAGTGGACCCTTAAAAATATTCTTTAGAAAATCCAGGCCTGTAGTGGACCATTAAAATATTCTTTAGAAAATCCAGGCCTGTAGTGGACCCTTAAACATATTCTTTAGAAAATCCACGCCTATAGTGGAGCCTTAAAAAATTGTTCTTTAGAAAATCCACGCCTATAAAAAATTATTATTTAAAAATCCACGCCTATAGTAGACCCTTAAAGAATTATTCTGTAAAAATCTTTACCTTTACTTGACCCTTAAAATTTATTCTTTAAAAAATCAGGTCCTTCTCGAAAATCATATCTTGAAAATCTTCGCACATACCTGGCAACCCTATCCGATTATGTCTCATGCGTTTTTGGTGTGCGATGCGATGCAATGACAAAAAATAAGATGACAATGACTGTGACGACGATATATCGCATCGCAATGCGAAGAAACGAAGAAAGATGTTGTGCCTGATGATGAACGAAACAAAAAAAGTATTCGAAATAAATGACGACGAGATGTGATGCGATGATACGCTTCTCATTACCGGCTGCCGGGCTGTGGTGTTGCTATTGCCGGCTTTGTTGCTGTTTGTGTTTACACTTTTTTTCGTTGGCATGTTTTGTGGTTGAGCATATTTCATGTGTGCGCCTATATACGTGTGCGAGTGTGTGTGTGTGCGCGCCTGTTAGGAAGAGAGCGTAAAGTGATCGTATAAAGTGTGGCAATGGAAACAAAGCCGTTGCTGCCGTTAAACAGCAGCAGCAGCAACAACATCACAGCATCACCAGCAACGCCACAAGCTATAAAATTGCGTGCACGCGTCTTTTAATGCGGGTCACGATCACGACCACGAACCAAATATTGTGAATATCTATATTTTTTGTTGTTGCTGTTGTTATTATTGTTGTTGTTGTTGGTTGGTTGTGGTTTTCTTTCTTTTATTTTTCTGGTTGATGTTGAAAATTTTTCTTTTTGTTTGTTTTGCATTCTCGTCATGCATTATTTGTTGTTGGTTGTTGTTTTTTTTTTGCCACAACTCTGTCGGCAAGAAACGTTTTATATGTGCAAGTGCGCGTGTGTGTTTGTTCATGTGTAGTTTTTTCTTATATGAATGATGATGACAATCATTACAATTTTAATGAAGATTTTTCGAATATTTTGGGCGTAAATAAATTGTCACATCTTTAGTGCGAGGCGGCTGAAGTCGACTAAAGGATGTCCCTTACATTGTTTTGGGGGGGATATTAAATTACCGTAGACAATGACAGTTTTTTTATTTTTTATTTCAAAAATTTTAATAAATCTTGGTTATTGAAATACAGTAAAACCTTTTAGATGTGAACTTCTGATAATTATCTCTTTAAGATAAAGACGACTTTTAATAAGATTAAATAATTTAAGCAATTCCTTAATCAGTTTAACAATAGATTAAATCAATTTAAACCATTCTTTTGAGCTATAAAATCTCCTTAATAATTTGTTTAACCCTATGTTTATATTGGCCCTAAAACGGATTTATTTTCATGTTCATGTAGTCGAGCCATCATGAATAATGTGCATATGTGACGTATGAGTAATGTAATATCTAGAAAAATTATAGACATATATATTATACGCACCATGGTTCGGCATAGATTTAGTTTTTATTTGAGAGAAAACATACCAACAGTCTATTGCACAGCTGATCATTTTGGAAATAAGCCTGGATTTATAGGGAATTTTAGGAAACCTATTGAAGGTCATTCTATAGGCGTGGCTATATAAATAATTCTTTTTAAAGGGTCAACTCTAGGTGTGGATTTTTAATGAATATTTTTAATAATGAATGAATGAATTTAATGAATTTATTAATAGTCTACTATGGACTATAGTCTACGGGTTTTGAAATAATAATATTTTAAGGGCATAAAATAGGCGTAGCTTTTTAAAG